CAGAATACCTAGTTCAGAAAAGGAAAAAGTGAAGAATTATTCTCTTTCCTCCACTCCCTTCCTCATGCCTTATGGAGGAAGTAAATCCTTGTGTATATAAATTCTCTGATTAGCCTTAGCATAGCTCCAATTGTGCCCAAATGGCAGGAGGAATCAGGAGAGCACTTGTTGGACCTCTGTGACTCCGGGGCTCCACTCCAGGTCACTGGGGTCGTAATCTACACGGTGGGTCCTAGAAGTCGTCAGACTTAACCAGCACCAGGGGATTCTTGTGCTTGGGGGACGTTGGCCTCACCTTTATTGAATTTATAAGGCTTGGCTTCTTAGTTGTGAAGAGATTAGAAGAACGTGTGTGTTCACATGATTGAACTCTTGGAATACTGGCTTTTGGGAGAAAAGGACTTGACTTATTTAGCCTAAAAAAAAAAACAAAAAAAACCCCAGAAATATGAGTTAATAATTGCTTGCAAAAGAATGAAAGTTTTATAAATGAAAGAATAAGTATTTGCTAGGTCAGGAGACCTTTAAGGCTAATCAAGAGGAAGGACCTTTTGCTAGAATCATCAGCAAATACTGAGCATGGAAAGAGTAAGGAATAAAGGGTGATGTCAGTACCTTTAGGGAGCTGAAGATAGAGGATAAAAACATGATCTTTTGCACAAAAATCAGAATGCAATATTTCAAGTCTAGGTAGTGGACTTCAGTGGATTTCAGTTGCAGTAAGTTGGGGGGCTGTTTAGATGCCGTGGAGGAGAGAAACAGGTCACCAGGCGGGCTCAAGAGAGGCTTGAGGGAGGCTTTGAAAGTTAGCTTTTTCATAGTTGGATGGGATGACAGGGCATTTTAAAGCACTAGCTTCCAATTTTTTAAATAATGATTCTCCAGTAAGAAATATATTATGTATTTTGTATCACCACCTACTATACACATTGTATGTAATAAATAAAAAATTCACAGAACATTTAACCTTATTTAATGTGATACATCTGATGTTTTCTTCTTCCTTTTCTTCTTTTCTTTCTTTCTTTTTTTTTTTTTTTTTTTTTCTCCTTTTTACTTCTTCTTTCCTTTTTTTTTTTTTTTTTTTTTTTTTTTGAGACAGAGTCTCCCTTTGTCTCCCTTGGTAGAGTGCCATGGCATCATAGCTCACAGCAACCTCAAAATCCTGGGCTTAAGCAATGCTCTTGCCTCAGCCTCTCAAGTAGCTGGGACTACGGGTGCCCACCACAATACCTGGCTATTGTTAGAGATGAGGTCTCACCCTGGCTCAGGCTGGTTGAACCTGTGAGCTCAGGCAATCCACCTGCCTCAGCGTCCCAGAGTGCTAGGATTACAGGCATGAGCCACCTCGCCCAGCCCCACCTATTTAACTCATTAATATATCAAAACTATCAGGAAACCAGGAGCCCTGTGTAGAAGCAATGCTAACCCTGTCCCACAAAAGCCATACTAATTAGAGGGGAAGATTTTCACAGAAAAGTGTGAGAAAACAGAAAACTGTTAACATGATAGCCTTCTCCAGAAGCCTTCCTTGATTCTAGAGTATGAAGGAATTACTTTGGGATGTTATTGCAAAATTTTGGACTTCACCTATTTATCTGACCAGCCCTACCTTTGGACAATAGATTGATCAGGATGACTTTTCAAGATTTCTTTCAGTGCCTAATTTCAATTTTATACCACTCTGCAGAGGGATGGGAGCAGGAACAGAGGAGTGTGCTGCAGAGCACAGTGACATTGGACGTATTTATTAAACATCTAGGCCATGCGATTTTTGGTATAGAATATAGCGTTGAACAGAATGGTTAAACACATGCAGGAGAGGATAGGGGGGGAAAGTAGGAGAAGAGTGCTGGTACCTTGAAAGGCGTGCTTCTGGAAGGAGCATGAGATGTCCAGTTGTGCATTTATTTCAAAGCTAATTACAAGTATGATCAGCAGCCTGGCCCAGGACTGGAGAACTCTGCCCCTGATCAGAATCCAGGTTCCTGGTCAGAGGTTTGATTGGGATCTTTCTTGGCTTCCACCAAAGAATTTTGGTAAGAATTTTAAGAGTAGAACTCTTGCCTTCTCTCTTCATTTCCCAGCCTGTGGTCTGCTCTACAGACCTCTCTCTGTCCTGTTTTCTCTTCTGGTCAGCCTCTGCCTTCCCAGTGTGTCCTCAACTGTTCACTCAGCGCACATTCTAAGATCATCTCTTGCTCTCTCCCCCTCCTCATCCTGTCCCTCTGCTGCTTACCATGCAGCATTTCTTAAATATTTGTGTGTGGGTAGCTTGTTCTTTTGCCTCATCTCCTCCAAGAGAAAAGTAAATTCTCACCTTCAGGGAAGAGAAGACACTAGGGGAGATGCATTTCAGATGGCAGAGAAGGCGCCCTTGACCTTGTCCTTCAGAGAGTAGGGGAGGGGCGATCTCTTAAATTGAACTCCCTGAAGATCCACATGGAACTAATTTTAGGGAACCCGTGCAGTCAGATTTTTCTCTACTGAAGGGTGGAGCCTTAGCAACCCTGAAAAGGGAAACCCTTTCATGTGGCCTTCGCTTCGCCTAAGTACTTTCAGTCCTGTCCTCTGAGATCCAGTGTCCTTTTGATCTTCCAGTCTAGTTTTAATTTGGTCAGTTCAGGTTATGGGGAAGGATTTTGAAAGACAATACTTTTCTCTTTTAGGGTAATATAGGTAAGGATCATGGGTCTTAGATTATCTTCAATAACTTTTTTCTTTTAACTTGTAAAAGGCACTCTGGGAGAAATAAGCTGCGATCTGTTTCTTGGTAGCTGCTGTAGTTGTTTGTACAGTTGTTGTTAAGCGAGATTTCCTGTTCCATTAACAGATGCTTATGCCAGGGGCAATGTGTTCCCTTCAATAGGAAGCCTGATTTGTAATTAAAGAAAATGCCTAATGTCTTCTTTGTGAGCAAATGGATCATTGTAGTAGGAGTGTGGATGATGTTGGCCCTGACCATTCTTTAAAGAATATGAGGAGAGTTGTCTTGTAGAGCTGCACTGTTTTGTGTGTTAGCCGCTGCCCACTAGCACCTCGTCTCCAAGCTAAAGATTCACTTCTTCACTTCCACTAGCCACATTTCTAATGCTCAGCAGCCACAGGAGGCTAATGTAGTATTAATGTTTTGGGTCCTATTCTTCGGGCAGTGAGGGGCTGTCTTGTGCATTATAGATAGGGAACAGTACCCCAGTCTCCCCTTGGTAGATGCCAGTAACACTCTCTGGACATGGCAGTTAAAAAGGTCTCCAGAGATTATTACCCAGTGTTGCCTCAGATGCATAGTCACCCGTAGTTGAGACCTGCTGGCCTTGTGGCTATAATATTGGACAGAGTGGCGGCAGAGCATTTCCATTATCTCAGACAGTACTGTTGTGGTGTAATATGTAGCAAAGTTTGCTTTGGGGAATTTTATAGAGTAAGAATTTTGAGCCTTAGAGGAATCACAGTGGACATCCAGGCCAAAACCTTGGGAAACTGAGGCACAGGGTGGTTATAGATGACTTAAAGCCACCCAATGTGTGTCAGTGTAGAATTCTGGATTTAGGTCCATGCCTAGAGGGCAGACTGCTGGTTTTCCTCCAGACCTACCCCATTTCTTTGTTATCACACTCTGGATGGCCAGAGGGGAGGAGGGAGTCCTGAGAACTGGGAGTGGCCTAGTCCAGAGACACTCAGAGATGCAAATTTGGGGTGAAATTAGGAGGGTAGCTAGGTGTTTTGGGGACCCATCCCTTCTCTGTGAGAGGGTATAGTCTGCTGAGTTTTCTCAATGCATCAGTGCAGACATTGGGAACACACCCTTGGGGCCAGGGAAGACTGTAATCATGGAAAATTCCCTCTTTTCATTTAAAAAATTTTAATATCTCCTTTGCCATCTATATGAAATACCTCCCAGGAATTCTTCCCTTCAGAGGTTTTAAGGAAGCAGAGTCTGTAGAAAGCTTTGGGAAGGGAAGTGAAGTTTCTCCTAGGTGGCAGTGTCTACCAGTGAAGGGGCCAGAAAGTAGGTAAGCTCCGGGGCCTGCTACAGGGGGGACGAGAAGGCCTGGGCCTGCACAGTGCCGGGGGTTTGGTGTGCCCAGCAGCTTTTGTCCCTTCCTTCCTCCCTGTGAATCCCATACTTGTCCTGTACCTCTCGTGACGACTTCCTCAAGCACTGATTCTGTTATTTCCGCATTCTCCTGCTCCAACACCTTCAGTGGCTCACTGCTACCTTTCACATTTGAAACTTCTTAGTCTTGTATTTCTGTTCCATCTGCTTTTTTATATAGAGATCATCTCTTTCCCTGTAAGAGTAGAATCTAGTTTTATACACATGGAAGCCTCACTGTCACTGTGGCTTGCAGAATTATTCAGTTGGGTTTTGGGGTTGATGGTGTGTGAGGCTTTGCGCAAAGCAGTTTGATGTTTAACATCTCGCTCAGGAAGAAGTTTTATTTCTGGTGATTCAGTAGCCTGGACAACAACTTACAATCCCTAGACAGCTCAAAAATTGGCCCAGTCAAAAGAGAAAGAATGGTGATAAAAGCAGGTGAAGAACTGTGTGTATATGAAAACCCTTGGGTAACCTCAAGCTATTGGTCAGTTTGGTTCTGTAACACGGACCAAGTGAGCTGTGGCCTAGGTCAAAGACCAGTGTTCCGACAAGCCAGCTGTCCAGTTAGTAGAAGCTAGCTAATGTGTAAACTGGCCTTGAGGTCTTTTTAATTTACTTCATTTTCCCAGCATTAGTTAAGAAAAGTAACTTTATCTCAGAGCTTGGTGACGGGGTGTGATTTCACTGAATTGTTGATGTTTTCTTTGGGGGAAAGCAGCCTTATTGAGTGTCTCCATGGTGAAGGGGAAGGTCTTTTTAAAGTTGTCATTGGGGTCAGGTTTTCCTCGGAGCCACAGGACGGCAGGAAGCTGGGAGGCAGGGGTCCTGCCAGTTACCGCATGGCCATGGCTGTGGCTGGTGTCGCTCACTGCCTCTCTTTCTTCCCTTTGCTCCACAGACCAATGAGTGGAACAAGAATGATGACCGGCTGCTGCAGGCCGTGGAGAATGGAGACGCCGAGAAGGTGGCCTCGCTGCTGGGCAAGAAGGGGGCCAGCGCCACCAAGCACGACAGTGAGGGCAAGACTGCGTAAGTGCTGCTTTCCCATGTGCTCCTCTGGGTTCGCGGGGTCCTCTGTTGTCCTTAGAACCCATAAGGGAATTTCTTTTTTTCTTTCTTCTTCTTTTTTTTTTTTTTTTTGAGACAGAGTTTCATTGTGTCACCCTCAGTAGAGTGCTGTGGAGTCACAGCTCACAACAACCTCTAAATCTTGGGCTTTAGCAATTCTCTTACCTCAGCTTCCCAAGTAGCTGGGACTATAGGCGCCTGTCACAACACCCAGCTATTTTTTTTAATTGTTGTTGCAGTTGATTGTTGCTCAGCAGGCCTGGGCGAGGTTTGAACCCACCTGACTATCTGTGTGGCCTAATCACTGAGCCTTGCGTGCTGAGCCCCGTAAGGGAATTTCACAAGTGCCTTTACGGAGACCTAGTGACATTACTGCCACTCCTTCTCCACTCTCATGGTAAAATACGTAAGAGGCTATTTTAATCTATTTCTTCTCTTTAAATTCTGAGTTACACATTGAGCTTGACTATGAATGGCTGTATATGTTCTTGGATATGACCAAAGATTTCACCTACCAAGATTACAACCAAGTGGCAGAAGGGAAATGAATTGTACCCTAGGTAAGAAATACCATAAAAGTGAAAAAATATTTTTTCATAACCCTCAAACCTATTTATAACATTTATTATAAAGTTTCCTTAACATAGATAAAATATGTATGTGAGTAGTATGGTTTTGCTTAGTGATTTCCCATCTGTGACACTGTTGCTTACCATAATTAAAACCATATATTTGGGGCGGCGCCTGTGGCTCAAAGGAGCAGGGTGCCAGCCCCATATGTCAGAGGTGGCAGGTTCAAACCCAGCCCTGGCCAAAAACTGCAAAAAAACCCCCACAAAACCCCATATATTTGATTAAGTATTTGTGTGCGTGTCTGTATTTATTTGTTTATATCCATCCTAATGATATTAGTTAACTGCATAACTATAGTTCTGAGGATGAGATAATTTGAGTGGAGATGGTTTCTGTAGCCTGGAAGCATAGGAAGGAAGAAGCCTACATAGGGTGTGTTATTTATAGGTTCTTATTTTAGGCAACTGGGACTCTTTCTTGATGAGAGTTCTGGGAATCTATTTAGACCTGTGATCCCCAACCCCTAAGCTACAGACCAGTACCAGCCCATGGCCTGGTAGGAATGAGGCCGCACAGCAGGAGGTGGGCCCAGGATGAGGAAGCAAAGCTTCGTCTGTGTTTAGGGTGCTCCCTATTGCTCCCATCACCACCTGAGCTCCACCTCCTGTCAGATCTGCAGTGGTATTAGATTGTCATAGGTGCCCGGACACTGCTGTAAACCGCACCTGCCAGAGGTCTAAGTTTTACTTCTTAGAATCTAATGCCTGGTGATCTGAGGTGGAAATGTGCTTGAATCATTCTGAAACCATTCTCTGTTGCTCCCCAAGGGGTCTCATGGAAAAATTATCTCCCACAAAACCTGTCCCTGGTGCCAGCCAAAAGGGTTGGGAGAACCACTGGTTTTGATCCAGAGCAGGGGTTGGAAAACTATAGCCTACTGTCTTTTTTTTTAATTGTTTTAAGAAAATGAGGTCTTACTATGTTATCTGCATTGTACTTGAACTCCTCCTGGGTTTAAGTGATCCTCCTGCCGGTAGTCCCTGCCTGGGACTACAGGCGAATAGTGTTTATAAGTAAAGTTGTATTGGAACACAGCCACACCATTCATTTGGGTATTATCTATGACGGCTCCTGCTCTACAAAGGCAGATTAGTTACAGCAGACAGAGACTATATAGCTCAAAAAGCCCAAAATATTTATTACCTGTCCCTTTACAGAAAAAAGTTAGCTTATGAGGCCTCGTAGTTATCCCAACCAAAGGATTAAAAAAATAGGGTATTCATCCCTGATCTCCTGTTCCTTAAAGATTGAGTGCTGCTCCTAAGGGCCACCGTGCTCAGAGACTCGAGGAGTCCCAGAGGATGTGGAAGGGGCACCCTCAGCTGCAGGCCCTGTCTTGTAAGTAGAGTGAGCATAGCACTCAGCCCACCATGGGCACTACAATAAAGCAATTCTTGATCCTGACAGCTTCTGTATTGGAATCACCTGGAGTACTTTTAAAAAATATTGATTCCATGATACGCTGAATCATTCCACGTGTTCTGAATCACTTGGTCTGGGGAGAGACCCAGGGCTCAATTTTGTTTTTTTTCTGACCTGAGATTTTTGGTGGCAGACACTGGAGCTTTTTTTTTTTTTTTGAGACGGAGCCTCAAGCTATTCCCCTGGGTAGACACGCTCACAGCAACCTCCAACTCCTGGGCTCAAGCAAGTCTCCTGCCTCAGCCTCCCAATTAGCTGGGACTACAGGCACCCGCCACAACGCCTGGCCATTTTTTGGTTGCAGCCATCATTGTTGTTTGGCGGGCCCGGGCTGGGGATTCGAACCTGCCACCTTGGGTGTACATGGCTGGCACCTTAGCCGCTTGAGCCACAGGCGCCGAGCTGACACTGGAGCTTTTGAACTGCTTTTTGTACCACGCTTCAGCCTTCTTTGTGCCTACTCCCCCAGTCCGAGTTTGTCAGTGTCCATACAGACAACCTTTTACCATCATCCCAGAGAAAGGGGAGAGAAATGCCATGATGGTTTTGCCCAAGATGGTACTCAACAAAGAGAAGACACTACTCAGGAGGCTGAGGCGAGAGAATCGCCTAAGCCCGAGAGCTGGGGGTTCCTGTGAGCTGTGAAGCCACGGCTTTCTACTGAGGGTGACAAAGTAAGACTCTCTAAAAAAAAAAAAGAGAGAGTGAAGCTAGAAAACCTAGGTTAGCATGAGCCTCAGTTGTGATCACCCTGACAAATCTGTACCTTTTGTTCATGTTTATTATGTGTCAAGTAGGTGGCCAGCCTATTATTTTTCTCTTTCATTTTTTTGTGGTAAAATACGCATAACATAGAATTCAGCATTCTCGACCATTTGATAGCAACACAGTTCAGTGGCATCAAGCACATTCACAGTGTTGTATAACCGTCATCGCTGTCCAGTTCAACCCCTCCTCCCTGCCCCCTGCAACCACTTACTGGCCTTCTGTCCCTGTGGATTTTCCTGTTCTGGGTATTTCATATAAATGGAATCATATAACCTGTGGCTTTCTTCTCTGGCTTCTTTGACTTAGCATAATGTTGTCAAGGTTCATCGCATTCGGCACTTTATCAGTACTTCATTCTGTTCCCTTCTAATGGTAAAATGCACACAGCAGTTACGTAACCACCACCACTTCATTTTACATATAATAAAACTAAGCCCCACTTAATAAGTTCTCCCTGAATTAACCTTACGACCAGTTGTAACAACTCTACCCTTGTATTTACACGTCAACTATTTTTTCTCTCCATGGCACTTTTGTAGAGAGTTAAGAGGTAATGACAAAGGAGAGAGGGGATCATTATCTTTCTAGTGTAGGATTTTCCATAAGCAATCGTCTATCAGTACTTCAATTTCTTTTTCTACTTGGGATATTCTTTCTGATGATTAAGGTTATAAACTGATAATTCAAAAATTTAATTTTAAAAGACACCATGGACTTAACTCTTAATCTAGAGCCATATTTTCATTCAAATCTAATGGTCTGAGTATTCAGAATGAGATGGGCTTGTGGGGTTAGAAACAATCAGTCTTATCTCTTCAATATCAAGCTCAAGAATTTTGTTGTGAAGTGAGCCCCCGTTTCATGGCTTCAGCCTTCTCACCATTGGAGCCTGCCCTCTGCACGTGGATTTAGTCTAATCTGTGCATTCCTGCCTGGGTGTACATACATCTCCCTCAGGAGGAACTGAGGAGTTTTCCTCAGCTGAGGAGACTTTTCCGTTGTTGTTCCTATTCTTTCAAGGTATGTTGGGTTTAGTTGCACATAAACTGTCAACCTCCTGGGAGAGGCTCCGAGTCAGTGACAGGCCAGTGCTGGCTGCGCTCGAGTTCCTTCTGCGGGAGCACTTGGCTAGACCAAACCCATGAGCTTGCAGGGAGAGTGTTTGTTTGTGGACCTGTCAGAGATGTTTCGAGTTCCTCTCTAAGGGTAAGGCCTCACTCTTGTAAGTTAGGTCCGCATTTTCTGCCTGCTTGTTAAAGGTGAGCCTTCAGTTTATATAGTTTCACATGAAAACTGGCCTGGGGCCCTATTTTCTGCAGAGCTTTTGTGACGACTCACTTTGTATTTTTGCTTGGGAATCTGCAGTCGCCTGTCAGTCCTGACTTTGGCCAGGAGGGCTGTCTGCTTCTGCCCTCTCCTCTTGCCCGGTTCCTTCAGTCTTTTTTTTTTTTTTTTTTTTTAATTTTTACTTTTCTTAAATATTGGAACCTCAATTTAGAACTTGATATAGTCCATCGAAAGAAGAGGAACAATGGAAATGTCTCCAGAAGGAAAATCCTTTGTTTTCTAAAAGACTTGAACCCCATGTAACATGGTAAGCTGTCTGAGGACAAGGATCATCGAATGTTTGTCATTATGTAGTTTTTTCCCCACTGTTCCAGGTGCAAAGGAGACCTTCAGTTGGTATTTGTGGATGTGACTTTTTTCATATGGTCCTTATGGAGAAAACACTGTTTTTGTTGATAATATCTCATGAGTAAATTACTTAGGGGTGAGTTACACTGGGATTCAGGGGGGAAAGAACTATTCTGGTATACATGGCAGCCTGACACTGCCCTCCAGCTTCCAGGGCAATTTAAATGGAGAAATACTCAGCCTTTACTACCTAGACAACCAGACAACCCAGAAAGCCCCAAAAAATGTGGCGGCAAAGGCAGCCATCTCCAGAAGCCGCGTAACCCAAGGTCAGTAACCAGATGGGCGGTTTGGTAATGCCCTAGACTTGGCAGTTTCTGCCTGCAATATTTCCTTTGAGGGAAAGATAAAAAACCATGCCAGGAATTTTTTTCCCTCTGAGACTGATCAAAGAGGGGTTAAAAAATAGTAAATGCAGTTGAATGACTGGAATTCATTTAGGG